ACCTCATAAAAGGACACTTATTACAATACATTCCTAAATGAAACTATATAAACGAAAAAGTAAAGAAACAGACATGCCTTTATCAAGGGAATAAGAGGAAGCTGAATAGAAGTCGGATAACAGCCAGGATTTGCCACTAGACGCGCATTTTTTATCTCTCTTCTAGATATCTCAGTCAGACCATACACTGCTTCTTTCTGTATTTCACAAACAAAAATATTAGTTCACATGTACAAAATTGCACAAATGCAAAACAAACTATACATGTTTCAGAATGAGAAGATTCATCAGAAGAAAATGAATCAGAAATTTTTCAATGAGCTGAGGTCCACGAGAAGATTAAACCAACCTGCAAGTCTTGTGCTTTGTGGGGCTGACCATACCATTCCTCGTATTCACCAACATCTCGCAACCGGAAGTCCTACATTTCACCAGCTTTTACGATTCCAAAAGGGATGTGACATAAAATTAATTTATCAAAAGGATGCACTTAAAACATTGAACAAAATATGAATTAAGCAAATACCGCTGAAAGATCAACAATCCTTAAGTTGTTTGGAAGGCCTTTGATAATTTCCTGCAGAATGAAAGGAGTAATTAACTGTGATTCCAATGCCTTAGTTTAGTTTAAGTTGCATGGTCCATACTATGGATTTTCTTAGGTGTCAAAGTGATTGTCTGGATGTGGAAGCCAAGAGATAATAAGCAAACCTGAGTAGTTCCATGAGGCAAACAACAGAATACAGCATCCACGTTAGAAAAATCTGCATCCTTGACAGCAACCATATCTGGCAAATCCTGTAAGATCGGATGTGCGATATCATCTTAGAAGGATGATTAAAGAGATACTTAAAATGAGAACCCAACGTACCTTTCTGATAAAATGCAACAGAAAATTGATCACGTAATTCTTGTTATGAAACTCAAGATACGAACACATAACAGAAGAAAATAGAGTGATGCAAGTGATACAAGATTCGAATATGATTTAACTTTAATAATCTACAGCAACAGGGGAGGAAATCCTTTCACTATCAATGAGAATTTACC